CCTTCTTGGGGCTCATCTGGTAGGCGCAGTCCCCGAGTTTCCATCGACCTTATGATCTACTTGAACCCAAATTGCACTGTTTTCAAGAAATACACTCATTTGCAAATCAATTTGGTTTTCACGGGAGACTCAATTGAATCTCTCGTTTACGATGTCCTCCAGCTGAATGTGCTGCACACAGGCCGCCTCCTGATTCAGTTGGCACGATATTCGAGGTATCGCAGTATATTTTCATAAAGGAAACTACTCACAAGGTTGCTGAAAACCCCTCGACAGCCCACGACCGGTTTCGCTCTTCTTGGGGCTCATCAGGTAGGCGCAGTCCCCGAGTGAGTAGTTTACTTTATGAAAATATACTGCGACATCTCGAATATCGTGCCAACTGAATCATGGGGTGGCCTGTGTGCAACACAGTCAATTGTAGAATATCATAAACGAGAGATTCAGTTGAGTCTCTCGTGAAAACGAAATTTATTGGCAAATGAGTGTATTTCTCGTACCCCCAAAACACATTTGACTACTGGCCTGACAAGAATCACAGAAATCAGGTTTTTCCGTCACGATATTTGTTCTGACCGATTGGGTACTGATTAGAACGTAACTCTACACGAGAGCATGAGTAAGCATGTGCATGAAAAATACGAGAATACGGTTCTTACCGAATCAGAAGGCACCACCAAACGCCGGCGGAGATCACCCAGATAGGGAAGGATAAGTTCACCGAGCGTCCTGCCGACGGGCTCAGACCACAGATAAGGAGCATCTAACCGGGGTAGGGGAGGCAATTCTGGACCAGCTTCGATTCTTTGTGAAAAAACGGAGTAGAAAAAAGCAAATATGAAGTTTGACGACTTTAAATAGCACAAATATTATACTGATGACGAGTTTGACTGGGATGTTACAACTAGCATTTTGCTCCCAGGTTCTGTCCCACTGAATACGTCGTTTCAAATTCTGTCGACTTCATAGTAGGGTTCACATTTATCACAATATAGAGCCAGCCTTTACAACCCATTTGACTTTGTCCATGCACAGCATCAGAAAGCTACACCCACCCGTTGAGACCGCGGAGAATGTAACTGGGTTATCGATGGATTTCAGTAGTCTTCCCACACTACTTACGCGTAACAAATTTTCAGGGCCAAACCGAATCCGAAGGCATCCACGGCTCTGTAGATTCAATTGAAGAACACCCAGAACCATTCAAACGGTAGACTAATAACGGCCTAACCGGCTTTGACTCAATTTGATTCGCGACACCCTAAGGGTGTTTGATCAGCATCAAACCTGCCACCCATGAAGCGCCACAATATAATCGGAAGTAGTTTGCTTCTTTTGTGAGTGAGTAGAGAGTGCGGTGCGAAAAATGGCATCGAGTTCACTAACTGACAAGCCGACTAAGTTAGGTTCGTCGGCAGGGTACTTTGTGATAACCTATGCCAGTTCTTGGAAGGATGCTAGTGAAGTGAATCATAAAAGGAACTTCAAAGTTATGCGTTGGGTTTGCTCAGCAACACGTAACAGAGCGGATTCCCATGTTGTTCCCTTACGTTTGTGCCGTGAGGAGATTTCGTCCTGTAAGTGAGGTCAACCTATGCCGGAAAACTGAGAAGCGCCGAACGGCTTCTTCGCATCTCAGGAAACACCATAGAGCCTCGAAACCGCGACTCGATCCCGACTGCGTTCAACTGTACTCGTTTTAGCTTGGGCAGCCCGGAAAATGTCCATCCATCCTCTGTAGGGTTATGCAGCCGGTATGCACCGGGGTGCCATAGACCAACGATTTGGATTCAACATAGGAAATCGTATGACGCATTCACAGAAGGGCTCGAGGAATCTCAGTGGGTAAGGTGTCAGCTTACGGACCGGAAGGTCCGTAGTTCGAAACCAACCTCAGCATATCAACTGCTCCTGTTTGGGCCAGTATCCCAATCTTCGAAGCCTCCTTCCGTTGACATAGCAGCTAGACCCCGAAAAACGCTACAGCTGAACGATCTGATTTTCTTCGATTATTTTGGAAGGGCTATTCGATGATAAGGATTAGCGCACGGCATGATAAACAAGCTCTGGGAACCAACAGTTCGAAGGTATCGTTCGACAGCAATGAACAAAACCACAACGTTTGAATTCGATACAATGTCAATGGAATACAATATGCACTTACTTGGAGGCTGGATCGATCAGACAGCGTAAATACATCAACCCACTGATAAATGATTCGTCTGACTGAATACTGATCGATTCATGATTATCTTCGGTAGTGGACGGTTGGAACATGTGTGAGAGTAGCGACTGTATAGTTTCCACGCTGCGAGAATGAATAAGGACGAGAAACAAAGGTTCCGTTTTAGAAAAGCACCAGTAGAAATGTGATCGAACGAAGAGGACTAGAGGAACGTAATCTGGAATGCTCCACTCTAGGCCTAGGTAGTTAGACCGCATCGCAGTCACTACAGTTTCAACGTGTGCACCAAATCAGCCAGCAATTGACTGCAGTGATAAAAAAAATCTTCAGTTTAATCAACGTCGGACCACTAATAAACAAGATCGGTTCCGTCGATTGGAATTTATAAATGACCTAAGTGCACAGCAATCAAGGCATCATGTATTATGAAGTTATAGACCACGGCAGTGTCACAGCTTACCAGACCCATACAGTCAGCCAGTACGTCCTGAACGCGCCGCCAGAACTAGCCTACAAAACCAATACTATTGGATTCACTTCCTTTCAACTATACGTTCTAAAGGTGGACCAGTGAGCGCATTTTCCAGGTTCACTGGAAAGCCAGTTTTCTTAAACGTGGAGCCGAATCCCTAGCTGTTAAACTAGTCAGAGAACCATATTTTCAGCTGGCTATCGGGTAAATTGGTGGACAGGAGTCTACTCACTAGACCTTCATCCACAATCTGGACAAAGCATTACGATCGCGGGTGCTGTAGCAGCCGATTTGATTTGCATTACTTCTGCTTTTCCTACTGGTTACTATCCTCTACCGCCCGTTAGTGCTCAGCAATCGTTCCATAATCGTCCACCAGTCTCCTTTGTTCTGCCATGACCGATGCCAGATCCAGCAGTAAGAAGCATCACGTCAGTGTCTACCCAGAACAGTCAAACCTATTGATTAATGTTATTCTCTCGATGACCTGCGCTTATTGGTTCGGAATCAGGAGAAGAACTGTCAACATATAGTGCAAACAGTAGTTGAGCTGTGTTCGTCCATTGGTACCCGATTCATTTCCCTTGTGAAAAGTAGTACAAACGAAACAATGAGCTTCCGTCAGACTCAAACCATCGCCTTACGGAAAGAGTGCTCTAACAACCGAACTGCCAACGACGTGTTTCACCCACACTCACGTATTCCAGCTTCAGATAAAATTCGCAACGTCCCGGTCGAGTGGATTACCAGTCTACTTCTATCAGTGCCTCAGAGACGTGCTGCTGATATCATCTTAGCAGCAAAAGGCATTGAAGTAAACTGATACACAACAGAGGTGGATTTGCTACATCAGGAAAATACGAAGTCCACGTACACGTTTTACGAAGGTGGGGTTTCAACCAACGGACTTCCGCTTATGGTGTCCACTCACAAGCGCGCCTTATCGTTCATACTATGCATACTTAGTCTTCATATATTCAGGAGCAACCAAGTCCTCTTCTCTATCATTTTCTTTTGAAATAATTCCCCATCGTCCCTGCCCCATAAACATCCCAGTAAGAAATTCCCCTTATCTTGAGGACGAGTATGCAGTTGATCGAGAACCTCAATGTTGAAACACTAATCACGGTTGTGAAGAGCAGCACCCACACCTGATGAGTATATTCTCTGATGAGCAGATATGAAACTATGAGATTCGTATACGAAACTACTGTGGGAGTCAGAATGTTAGGATCTCTGTTTATGCTACACAATTTAGTTGAAGATTCACCAGCACTTTCTACACCAAGTTTTCTATGTGCGATGATTTCGGTACATCGAACCAATTTCCAAGAGTTAAGCGGTCCTACAGTAGGGACACAAAAGTTAACCTGTTGCACCAAGCCAGGTATCGCAGGAACATGGATGCCATCAAGCAAGGTAAAGGAAGATCTCCGATGGACTATGGGTAATAGGCTAGATGCACAAACGGTCTGCAACTTTTAGACATCTAAAACATCATCGCCGGGTGATTGATCAAGCTTCAGTCTCCTGTTGGAACATCGATGCCACGTTGGTAAAGCAGGATACGGATATCTATGGACGAACTTTCAGTTAGTTTGTTAATGCCTCATTAGCACGCTGACACAGTCCTGTGGCAAAGTAACCCGAGCCCATTGCCGGATACAACCCACTACTGTCATAACTGCTGTTCAGTCAGCTGACAAACGAAGAGAAAATCTGTGTTAGAGTACCTATGGGCCACCTGGCTCACACGTGAAAATCAGCTGCACCGAGAAACAAATCGATCCTTGACAGTAGCACGACACCACAGCTATTGCAAGAGAATTAGTCACTGTACCTGAAACTGTTCAGGAAACCAGGGAAGATCCGGAATTTGGAACGTTAGAAAACAACATTTGGTGGCCTGTAAGATCGCTTGAAAAAAAGACAGTTCACAGGCGCCAATCAGTGTTCGTCACACGCTCCTTCAACTGGTAAGCTAAAATAAGCGATGCGTTATTAAAGCTTACCACTGATTAAAGTCACTGTAGGGATAGGATAAGTACTGCATGATGATGACGCGACTTTCGCGGCCAAGAAACATCGAGGTTACACATGAGTGACGTCAGTGGGTATTAGAAAGACGGAAAGAAGAGCTAGTGACGAAAACATAAGTGACGATCTCACACACCGACTCCGGTCGTGCTATCACTTGATGTACCTATTCAGCAAATCTGCTGTGCAAGTTAAAAACAAGCTCCTTCAGTTATCGTAAAGTTCTGTGCTCCACAAACTAAAAGGACTCGTCAAAGCACTCACTGTGAAGTCACAGGAGCCGTGTTATCGGAAGACAGACGATAAAATTGACGCCAAACATACAGCAGGAAGTTCATCACATGGGGTTTGTCAGTCCCTACCCGACACGCGTTCGATCACAAAGGGGTCAATTTTGTTCCTTCATACGAGAACGAGTAGTCCTTCAAACAATGGGCATTCATCAGCTAGACCGTCTGTTGACCTTTAGTCTAAATACAGCCTACACTCAGATAGGAAAGCCTGGTAGAATCAGAACGTTCTGGAAAAGGGGCAGTTTAGTGCCGTTTGGACTCACATCATCCACAAACCGAGCCCGATTTATCAGCTGTAAACGGGGTGATCTAAGACTATAGCGACAAAGTACTACGGAACAGCACCTAAACGACAAACGGCCGGATGAAATGTATTCGAGGACAGTTCAGTTGGTTGTCTGTTTCTGTATCTGTCTTTCATTCGAGCTGCTGTCTGTAAATTCGACCCCTTTCGCTTGGTTTCCACGGTACTAATAGTGCTATTTACAGCACGGTTTGTGAGAATTCGATCGTATGATCGATACGGTCAAAACCACGTACTTGATCCGGCGCCTTCTATATCAAGCAAGCTTACTACAAAGGAGTTATGACGCATCTACTTGACATAACCAAGCCACAAATCGCAAAATGTACAATTTCTACCGCACTATTGACGATAGATGAAGGGCTATTTTTTAAATTCTGTGACAAATCATACCAACAGTAGCGAAAAAAGAAGCGGAAAACTATGATGCATTCCTTGATTCGGTTGATGTGCAAAACGTTTCATGTTTATCGATCGCAGACAAACAACGTACTGGTTAAAATGAATTTATGATGAAATACTTCATGCCGAGGAGAGACGGTAACTTGAGAAAAGTGTCTTCGAAATGCATACTGCGCTTGTGTTTCCCTTAAAAGATAAATGGACCCGTTTCCGCTTCATCCGGGGTTTATAGGTAGGGTCTACGGTAAATGGTGGAAAGTAGGCTATCTGCTTTGTTTACTCCAGTTCGGTAGCGACACATGAATACGATTGGCTATGAATGTCCCCGTCACCAACCACCCTTATCCTGAGATTCACATCCTGGAAGATGGCAGTTACGAACACGACTGAATTTACATCCACGTCATTATGTTGTATAGCCTGATGAATCTCGGCCAGCTCCACTCAAATTTACCTAATAGTGCAATGGTTTAAACGTACTGGGGAGAAATGACACATTTCAGACAATTGAGGTAAGTCCATTATTATGCCTTTCTTTGGGAAAGATCCCGAAGAAGCAACTCAGAAAAACCGGGGTTTTAACTCGTTGTAGCATAGCTACTGTGTTCCATAATACAGCAAAGTCTACCTAGAGGAGGTAACATGCAAGTTTGAGGGGATTGAGCAGGGATGCATCTAACTTATCACTTAACTACTTGGACAGCTCTACACACACAATCACAGTGTTCGAGGACTTCAAGGAGGACACGAACTCCGGAGAAAAAAAGTGACTCAACCGAAATTGGATGAATTTACGGTTACTTTAATTGGTTTAGTCGGTCAACTGCTTCTTAATAATAATTGCTGGGGATACGTATTTTATGTGTTCCATAATCCCATACAGTACCGTGCTCGGACTCGCAACGAAGTACCAAAAAGACCTCACCGAATCAAAAGGGTTCGGTAGTGTTGTCCTCTCTCGTATTTTTGTGTACAACTGCCACCATCCATAGAACGTACCTTCCAAGGGACCCTGAATGTTGGCATCCAGATAGCCTCTGAAGGCCTATAGGTTCGGATCATGCAGATGGCATTGCTTAATTATTAGACCACTCTGCATTCGTACAATATCGAATGAGCTTGGTAGCTTCAGAGCGCAATCAGGATTACCGAAAATTTCAGGCGGGAAGCTTGAATTGGCTGGCATGTGGAAGCTGCACAAACTATGGCTGTACTGTAATATGCGAAATGTGCGCGGAACTTATGAAAACGGAGGAACCATTCAGATGAAAAATGACCAGCTACTGTCGAAAGGTGCGCTTTGCGGTAACCCGATTGTTGACCATGTGGTGGAATAATTTGGATTCAGGGTGAAGACATTTCCACCCAAATGGGATTTCTTCGCCAAAAAGCACAGAGTTGTAAATTGATGGAATGTATCGCGAACTGATTGTGTCATTTCCATTGGTAACGAAACGTTTACACACTAATTGGCAAGCTCGGTAAACAGATCAACGGCAACTTGACCAAACATCAATAAACGCACCTGAACTGCAGACATTCTGGTATACTTTCATCTACAAAATAGTCAACAGACCTAACCCACAAAGCCCTCGTTTGAAAGAACCCCATGCATTCAGTCTACTAGGCTGCGTCAAAAGGGGAGCACAGAGCCCTATATCCATCCTAAATCCATCAGTCCTGAACCACGTTTGAAGTTGGTTTATTCGACATGCGCTAATAACGGCGACCCTCGGGTGACCCCTACGCACCTAATTGACAAAATTGATTGTGTTGAGGTGTGAGGGACTTGAAACCGGGTGACAGACCAAAATTACTTAAATTCCATAGTCATCAATCTGGGTATCGTTAGTCGATGGAGAGCAACTATAACCACATTATCAGCAAATGGGAAATAGGTGTGCAGCAAGCACCACACCTGACAGGTAACTGGGATGTTGAATGTCTACCGGAACAGTGAAACAGTGGTTTTGACCCAGATTTATGAAGGATGCCACGCAAGATGCCGGTGACGTTTCACCATTCGCCTAACATTTCTTTCTAATGGCCGCGGAAAGAATTACCCAAGAACTCTTTTCGTCAAAGCAAACACTGGTTGGAAAGGCGGATTAACACGGACGATTGGTGTGTCATATGAATCCCTGCGCAGCAAGCTAATGTGGACGCTAAATGCATACCTGCGCCTTTCCGATGGTCATACAAACATAAAACATGGATACTGTGATAATTTCTGACACAACCGCTGTACGATAGCACACAAGGCGGGCGAGACAATTGTCGGGTCAAGTTAGGATTGACAAGATGAACCGAGTAAAACAATCCAACCTTGAGTTAACAAGGTCAACGGGTAAACAAGAGAGCGTACTGACCTTTCGAGTTTGTCTAGTAGCGGATCCCGTCTAGTCAAAGAAGCTATCGATCCAGGGAAACTTCGCAACCGACAAGCAGCAAGTAGACCGGCGAGCAACTGTACAGAAGCGCTACGAGTCTAAGGTAGATGAAATGACACGCAAACTGATTAAAGAGCACGGAAGCAAGCACACGTACCTCCGGCAGTGGGAATCGATTCAGTAACTCCGGAACCAATACGGAATTGCTCAGTCTCTAAACAGTATGTCACCGTCCGGCAAAAAAACTTACAGTACTCATCTCGGAATAGTTAGAAAACTGGAGAAGCCGAGATATAATCTCTAAAACTGCCGGCCTCATCAAATTGGCGAGCAGGAAAGAAGGCAGATCGGATTTGGCCGCAAAGAAACTGTACATCTGAAGAATTATAAAACTGATTAAGAAAAAGTAGCAGGATTCACTTCATCAATGCTATACTGCATTAGGGCGAATAGGATTTTGTACACGAAACTCGATGCGAGAGAGGTCACATCCGGTTTCAGGAGTGTGGTGTAGAGGAGATCCAATGAGTGTGAATCACGCAAAAGAGCGTAATTTAAACGAGGAACGTTGGCAGCCAAAAGTTCGGATGCCGTGTGACATTTCCTATATTAGAGAAGGACAGAAGGTTAAATTTTGTGAAGACATCCCAAAACTACCGAAACTGATCTGTAAGAGGTAGGGATTCGTCTGGTCCAGAGACAACAACTTGTACGAGCTGCATCAGGACAGTCGATTGGCTGAGGCTACGTAACATGTCAGCAAAAAAGTGGAAGACAAGCTTACAAAGCAAGAAGTTTCTTATTCTCATTTCGGCATTCATCCAAAACATTGGGGTCACGAAGTACGTCATCCAAACTGGCATTCTATCAAAATGCGGGAATATTACTGAACGTGAAACACCAACCTCTTGCTCCAGCAAACTGTCCAGTTGTGAATAGAAAATACCAGGTTTAAGAAACATCTGAAAAGAAAAACGTTGGTGAGGTCATGGAAGAATAGAGTCCTCTAGCCTCAGCACATAAATTCACCAAAAAATAGTCCGAGAGGACATTTTCTGAAACGAATTTGCTAGTTATGGACAGTTTGCCTTAAGGTATGGCTAAAGAACACCTGAAGAATACTCCTTCAAGAGATTCCAAGAAACCAATAAGGGTAAGTTCTCGATCACAAGATAAATCGGACAGACTGAAATCAACTTGTTCAAAGTGACCGAGTCTTAATTCCTCAGTTCAATGTTTGTGTTGCAATGTAGCTCGAAAGGAAACACAGAAGTGTCTGTAATCGAATCGCTTTGAGATCGAATCAGCACATGCAAGTTTGACATTGAAATTGTGCACGAAGTGTGGCAAAGTGCGGACACTTGACATGATAGTTAGCCATACACGCCACACTAGCACCATATCCAACTTCCTGATCCATCTTAGTATTTGCGGACCTCACCACTGCAGCTAACATTAAAACGACATCTGTGAGGGCTTTGTTACCGAACGCCCTCCTCGGACATCTGTGATTCGAGACACTTAACGAGCCCGATCATCCACAAACGGCGAGTTCACGAAAGATTCTGCGGATTACCTCGGGATAAAGCACCGAAGTCCCACGTAGACCACATGCGATTAATATTGAAAACAGTCCTACGCAAAGCCAATTACAGCGCCTGAGTCAGTCTTAATTCATGATTAGGAAGGGCATAACGAAACAGCTATTGGGTGGCAACTGTTAAAGTGGCGTGAGTTCACGAGGACCAATTCACGAGCAATTAGATGGCCTTCAATTACACCGAAACAGATTTAATCGCTGCTTTTGGTCAGGAAGTGGCTCGAACACAACGGGCCTTCGGAGCTACTACTATAGGCGTACTACTATAGAATATTATGACGAAAATCCGTTTAGAGAAGGTGCCGAGCGTAGTGAGACGTCTTCATTTTACATATTCGCATGAGTCGTTTTTCTACGCACGCTTTTGCAACACAGCATGTCGAATATTGTGAACAGCATAAATTCTTTGTACACGTAAACATTTTGGCGTAAAAAGGCCCTCAGAAGAAATTCCTACAAACGATGCAGTCCAACAAGAACATGCACTTTCTCCATTTACGTCCAACATCGAAACCGACGATGTAATGAGCCAGACGCTGGAAGGTCTCCGAGAACCTTGTCAAACTGGAATATGTGAGTTGTTTTCTTATTCGGAAACGAGAAGTCGAAAGCATTCTCAAATAGCTGAACATAGTCATTCGGTGCTTCGCAGCTGCATGTTGTGATATAAAGATGAACGGAATAAATTCTTTGTCATTTGAGAGAAGAAAATCAAATTCAGGAAACGAATTGCGTAAGTTGGATGTTACATCGGTTACGATGGTAGGGTGGCAGATGTATGCTATGCAAGAACATGAAATTCCAGTTCGTTCTACTTGCTGCGGAAAGAGTTATACCTGTGAGCAACAAACATCACCCATTCTTTGTGAACGCGCCCTGTGTTGCAGCAAGGCTGCGAAAAATGGCATTTGCGGGTGGAGAATCTGAGGTGTTTTGAGGTACTTCACCACGGACGTCTCAAAACAGCTGGAGCAGCCTGGAACCATAAACTTGCAAGGCAGTGATTGGGAAAAAGAATATAGAACCTGAACTAATCAATATTTAACGTGCCTGTAGAGCATGTGGTTATTCGATGCTCTCAACAACGAAAATGCCAGCTTGAGCAGGGAGCTATCCAAGGCCACTACAATGGGTTTCCGTTTGTACAGCAAACGGTTCAGCCACAGGAACTATCTGCACCATCGACTTCGTTAGTTCTGTAATATGTACATGTGCTGAATACACCGCGCCGGTCATTGCCGTCTACCTGGGTGGGGACCCTGGGACGGGATATATCATCGGTTAGAGACACTGTCAGACATGGACCAGTTGCACCCAAAATGGCACTCGTGCATTCAAGCTGTTGCCCTCAATGCATAGTCCCTCAGATCTCTCCAATGAAGACTCCACTGACACCCCTGTATTTTTTAATATCAGATACCGCCTCCGATGCGCAACTATCTACCCCACTTTCTAGACCATCGACGCACTAGTGCGACAGCTATAACCATTGTACGGTATCTACGTGGTTTTCATGGCTGGTGATGACCATGACGCAGCCATAACGTGATAAAGAATAAGTGACGCTGGAAGCCCTGTGACAATGGGAGCAAAAATTAAAAACGCTGAGGTTATTACATTCACTGGTGTTGCCTAAGACGGCCTCTCAGAGGGGCAAATGTAGGCCAAACAGTCACCGGCTGAGGAAACCAACAGAACAGAGCACGAGATCGTCAGGATCAGCAGCACGATGATACACAATGGTACACTTCTGAAGCTGAAGGGGTTCCATATTCACAGCCCATCCTTCTGTTGAAGGTCAGGATTCCAGATTTGGGGTAGAAGGCTATTGCTAGAATTGTGCCAAACGGTCCAAACATCCTCCTTTGCCATTTTGATCTATGATAGCTTCGCCGACAAGCTCTAGAGGACCCGTCGAACGAACCACGCGGAACAGCTTGCGGATGTTTCCCACACTTTCGCCTCTTCTATTTCTTCGAGCTTTCAGCTCCAAACAGCCCCTCGGTCTGTATGGACACAGTGTGACCTGACGTCAGATGATACGTCGGGTCTAGTTGTGGTTGCGGCAGGAAAAATGTTAATGGATCTCCAGCAAATCCACGATTCTACCAGAGATCCTATGTTTGGATGAGAGTAGCTGGCTCGTACCGCAAACCAAAGTCCCGGCTCTCAGTAGCACTGTATCTGTTCCCAGTGGCGGTTGCTATCCCATATCGAACCGTTCCTAAGCCGTTCGAGGAGTTTGGTCTCGTTTGGTTCCTGGGTCCACTAGCTTACCACTGGCTGAGGGGCTGTGTATGTTTTACGTAGACCTGTAAAGTGCAAGGAAAAGCAGCAGCGGACAAGTGTACGCTGGTATGCCAGAAGCAGCGACAGGCATTGATAGACCCTCGCTACCGGTAACTGATGGCGATGTGGTCTGTTTGGATTTGGGACTAGTCCGCTGGTGGCCACCACGTCGTCAAGTTATTCCCACTTTTCCCAAAGTGATACCACAAGGGAGCAGTGCGTGATCGACACACATCTGAAGTAGAATATTTCTGTTGTCTGTGCGTCTCGCACCTAACACGAGATGACCACCCAAATGGGCCTCAGTAGCGTTTGGTCTACCTACCTGAGCGTTCATGTCCCTAACAACCACAACGCTGTCTGAGCTTTCTGCCCGTTTTAAAAGAGCACCTGTAGGACACAAGAAACTGTACTTGGCAGATTCATGGCTACGGTCAGTTGGGGCGTAAGCGGATACAATAAACATGGTGCGATGGACCCCAGTTTCTGCAGATTCTTTCACATATATCACAAAAGGAACCGCGCAGAGGCGACTATTAACGACAATGAATAAAGCAGAAACCCTTCCGTTTACTCGCTTAATACAATATGTACCCCGGCATATCCAGCTGCAACGTCATCACCAGAGGTGAGCAGCTGGATCTTGGAAGAGACCGAGGGACGCATTCAATCTATCAATCAATCAATTTATCAACTATAAACCGTGTATCAAAGGCATAACGATTGCAGATGCTACAGTTCTGATCACCGGAAAATGGGACAATGTTGGACATGTAGCTATGCGATCGAGGCGATCGTATGCCTAAATGGTTCGGGTACCGGTGTCATGAATTTTCTTTTGTCGTTTCGTATTAACCATGCTTTCGCCTTCACTTTCAGCTTAAGTACATCTATTCTTAGACAAGTAAAGCGCTATTCACTCTACGCCGTTCAGTCTCGCACTCGCGCTCAATCAGAATCGACACTCCATCTGTAACGGTTTACTTGTCTAAGAATACAATGGAACCATTGCTACGACCCAAGTGTTTCAGAATCCACCTCCATCTGTAACGGTTTCCTTGTCTAAGAATACAATGGAACCATTGCTACGACCCAAGTGTTTCGACACAGACCTAAATTTTCCAGACGCCACGAGTGGGTTGGAATCATTAGTTCCGAACCTATAAAAGATTCTGGGCACTGTCGAATAACCTGATCTGAAAAAATCGAGGTCGACCCATTTTTTGGATGCAACTATATATGCTTACGTCGCTGACTGTCCTGATTACGAATCCGCTATCGATACACTTGAAAAGCTGCACGTTCGCCATAGGAATATAATTTATGCTCGCTAACTTCTACACACTTGAAAACAAGACACCAGTCAAGATGTTGATCAGTTTGCTCAGAGGCTCAAATCCTTGATCAAAAATTGTGATTTCAAGGCGGTGTCCAACATTGACCATGTAAACGAAAGTGTACGCGATGCTCTGATCAACGGACTTCAGTCTTCTGCTATCAGAGCGTGTACATCATCATTATCATCATCATTCTCAGATGTAATAACCGCGTACTCGTCGTACAGTGGTTGCAGCCGCCGCAGTTTCGTTCACCGATGATTTGGGGGGGATGGTAAGTAGCTGCGCATTGCACGCGCGAGCTGGCAAATAGGTGCATAAATCCAGCACTGTCAGTGAGTTGTCAAGTGGGGGGGTGGAAAAGAAGCTATGCATTGAAGGCAATAGCTTTGATGCACGAGCGCCACTGAGGGCGCGACTGGGCCATGTCTGATAATGTCTCTAGCCATTGATGTGGCCCGTCTCGGGGTCCCCATCCAGGAAGACGGCAGTGACCAGCGCAGCTGAGTTTGCTGGTAATGGCCTTCAT